CCTGCGGCTCTGCAGGACGAGGCAGAGGCGGGCTCAGCGAGGGCGAGCAAAACATGACACCCGTGCCAAAGAAGAGGTGGCAGTGGAAAGAGAGGAGCTCGTGCGTGCAAACCTGTAAGGTACTGCAGGGCTCTCACCTGCCGCAGCGTGCTTCTGCTGACGGCCAACTAGTGCAAGGTCTCTTGGTTCCTCCCAGTCACTATCGACGAGGGCACTGAGAAATACTGTAGTTATCACGAGTAGCAGCATTAACTCCAAGCTCAACAAGGTGAGTCACATCACCAAGAGGAGATATTTGCACAAAGCCACCGGTTTAGCTAAAGGAAGCTTTACCAAAAAAAAAAAAAAATAATAATATATATATATATATAGTTTTTAAAAAGAAGGCTAAAAGAAGGAGTTTGAGTGATGAAATGTTCTCTATACCATGTTCTGACACAGTTATTTCCAGCCAACATAAAAAGTGTTACTTTGAAAAAACACCAGATTTGATGCTCTCTTTTTCTGGGAAAGGGCATTTTAGGCTAAAAGGTGCAAGGCTAAAACAAAATCACTGATACTCATTGATGGAATATAGCCTCTGTTTTCCCAAATACCCCAGGCTCCCCTAAAGCAGCTTATGACCTTCATTCCACTCACTGCCAAACTGTGAGTAATTCTCCATTACGTCACAAAATTCAAACTCAAAATCCATGTTCTGAGCGATCACAACTAACTACTTCATTTCTCTTTTCCCGTTTCTTCTACCGTATCGTCAGAGCTACAAAATTTCCAGAGGCTTGAATTACAGCAAGGTGAAAGAAGGGTGGAGCAGATCTTTTCCTCATAAGGACGGACCATCTCTCCCCCCACCCAGCATAGTTTTCTATTTTTCCTCCCAGGAAAGGGTCCCCCTTCCCCTGGCTGGCAGTAGTCCTGCCTGTGCAGAATGCTTAGTAAGAGCTCTTTACGCTTCCCTTATTTAGGGCCCTATAAAGCAAGGGGTCCTCAAGACTCTGGGAAACGCTGCTGCAGCCACTCTTGTCTCATCCCTGATCTGCTACAGGAGCCGCAAGTCAGAGGTGGAATGGTCTCAAGCGTGGAGCAGCTGCTACTTGGCCACTCAAGCAAGGAACCACCCCCGGCTAGTTAATACTGTCCGACCTCACAAACCACTAACAGCCTTGAGGAATGAAGCCAAGGTAACCCCTCAGGAGAATCAAAAGCTTTTCTCCCCTCAGAAAATGCACTTTTGCCCTTAAGGAAAGGTACAAGTCTTGGAATAAAGAAATGGAAGTTCCAAACCATTGAAAAGTAGAGTCATTCCTTTCAAAGTCCTTTTCAGTAGCAGAACAGAAGTCCTATCGCACAGGAGGAGATCAGGAGGGACACAAAAGAGCTTTTCATGTAGGAACTGGCCTGACTGGGCATATCAAAGTTAGAAGCTTTCCCCAAAGAGCTCAATGAAATCAAGCAGTTCAGCAGCCACAGGCCTGTCTGGCTGAGGCTACTTATCCTAGAGGGCCTTTCCAACAAGCAAAGCTCCCTCCTCACTGCAGACTCCCTTTAAAAGCATTCGCCATCACCCCCTAAAGATGAACAGGAGGGCATACTATAGACCTTCAAACCCAGGAATGGAAAATTTTTGGCTGCGTGCTGCCTGTAGCCAGACTGCTACTCGAGTAACCACCTCCCTGCTATCTTCCCTCAAGTGTTTGTAATGCTAGAGTCCGACACCTGAGTCGGAGCTGGGGCAACTCCACTGCAGTGCAAGTCAACCTCAGGGCCTAAATGCCACTCTGAGAACAAATAGAAGTTCATCTGAAAGTAGTTTTAATCCTGACTGACCTGCTGCCTCTTCAGGTTATTTAAAGGAGACTTCTAGACATTCAGAGGAGGAACCTTTATGGATGCTCCTGTTAGCAGTGAAAAACCACAGCACTTACTAGGGGGACCTGAACTGGAAGCCCAGGTATTCAGGGAGGTGAGAGCCAAACTTGTGCGTGGAATGTAAGAGAGCAACAATATTTACAGCAGTTCGGAGGCAGAAGCATTTTGTAGGAGGTCCAATTCTTGGGGGAAAAAATCTACCCTCCAGAAAGGACAACAGCACAGAGGGATACCGTTAGCCACAGGTATTAGCTACAGATTGTTTAAATCTTTAGTTGCTCATGCTCCACCACAGGAGCAACACCTGGCTGCACCTGTGTCACTAGAGCATCTTCCGAAGAGTCAGAGAAAAACTGCTTGGGAACAAGAACATAAGAACGTGTTTCAAGCTGTCCTCTGATCTCCTCACTCATCCTTGTGAAAACTACAGCAGGCTGTAAAGAACTGGCCTTAGGTGAAGGAAATAACACTAGTACAAAAGCTGAAGGCTGACAACATCCCTCTTGCTAGGGGCATTTTATGCCATCAGCAGCGTAAGCAGATCTTAGAAAGTACAAGACTGACCTTTAACAAATCAGTACCCATAAATACAGAAAAATGCAGTGTCAAACAGCTATGCAGAGGTGAGCCAGCACAGCACAGAAAGAGAGAGTAAAGCATGCTGGATTAGTGTTCACTCAAGAGCTTCTGCACAGTCAGAGCACTTGGGTGCTCTCCCTATGAAGGGGATTATGGTTTCTGATCAATCTGACATTCCTGCGGGTTAACATTTCTCCCTGTATCTTGTCGTAGTCAATGTTCACCTAAGCCTGCTCCACTGTATTTGAAATGCAACAGTTTCCCTCTCAAGAGGGACAAACATCCACTTCAGGACAGTCACTCCAATAGGACTGGTACACAGAGAAGTGGACCATCATCCCCAGGACTCAGCTAGTGACTGAAATGCTTGTGACCCCACCGGATTACACCAGAAAAAGACATGGTACAGGTCTGACCTAAAAGCAAAAGCCTCTTTCTGGCAAGTACTGTTAGACAATTTCAAGGTTACTGTGACCACAGCTTAGGCAGGGCAATATTATGCAAGTCACTGAGGCAGAAAACCCCAGCCTCCTGCCAGTATAAGCCCCTAAATACAGCTGTCTTCACAGCGTGTGACTAGAGGCCCATTTCTTGTGTTTCAGAATCCTGATTGTAGCTGGATATCCTCCAGTTCAGAGCTGGGAAAGCAGTATTGCTGCTGCTGCTGCTCACAGACAGCTAGAGGTCTCAGCCTCCCTGCAGCGACAACCTCCTGCTCTAAGGCTGTGCGTAATAAGGCTCGACTTAAATCAAACTACACTTCCCTCATTGATTAAAACCACCATAGTCTATCTTTCAAGGAGACCTCGTTGATAAGGCGATTCTGGATTCAGGCAACTTCAGTGCACAAAGCAGCCAGCTGTAACTGTGTCCAGCCATCTCAGCTTTTCAAGGTCTCTCTCCCATGCGATGGAGTCCAAACAGCTGGATGTTAGATGACACTCACCAGAAGCTGATGCAGCCTTCCTTTTTGCACATCCCGGTAATGGCTAAGTGCAGACACGAAGGAGAAGAATCCAGAAGCTACGTGAACGGCAGGATGCTTGACTTCAGTGGGATACATTCTATTTACAGGAGAAAGATCCTTCTACACTCACCCACCAACTTCACTGGATCCACCCTGTCCCTTCCTCATCAGAAGTTACTCCACGTGAGCATACTTCCATAATGCAGAAGGATTTCATCCCACAGGACTTGAGGGATATGCCGATAGATGGTTTCTTTCTCCTCAGACTTAAAGTCATTAAAAAAAGATACAAAGAACTGCTTTTGGCAGTACGGAGGCATTTGAGATTTGAAAAATATGGAGTGCAGGACCCAAGTAGATGGGGAAGTAATCAGTCCTTGACCTAATAAATAGAGTAGAAGGAAATCTTCAAGGTAGCTAGTTGCCAAAACACAAAACTTGAAGTCCTGCAGAGACCCCTAGGAGCTCTAATGCACCACACCGTACAGGGGCATCTCCTAGGATCCACTGACATGCAATTTCTCTGACACCTTTTGTCAGGCTCATGGATTATTTGGAATCCTGAAGTTCCTTTGCCTTCTTCAAAATCAGGTGAACATCAGAGATAGGATAATCCTGCGTCAAAGAAACAAAGTGATGTAAGTGCCCCCTTAGCATTCCTTGCGCACGTATCGTTCCATCCAAGCAGGGCAAACTTTGACAGTGGCATTCTTGGCCACACTGACTAACACCCCTAAGCTTGAAGTTAAATATTATTATCTTCAGTTACTCCTCTAACAGCTACTTGTTTCCTGGTTCATTTTGTAACTGATCAGCCCTGCATACCCTTCAAGAAGGTTTTTTATTTCTCCTCCAAGGGTATAGCTAAGCTGGCTTGATACAAGCACTATCTTCATGCCAGAAAGCCTTATCGAAGCCAGTACCTTGCACAGCCCAAAGGAGGAACTGGCAGAATCAGATATCCTACTGTTCAGTGCAGGTGTTTTCAACCTTGAGCTCTCACAGACCTCAGAACGTTTTAAAAAAAAAAAAGCAAAAAAAAAAAAAAGCCCCTTGCCAACAAATTTAAGACCGCTTTAAGGGGTTTCTCAACTTTGCTGGAAAATATTCAGTTATTTGCAACCCAAAACAAGGTTAAAAAACCCTCTAGTCTAAGACAAGAAGCTCTTTGTAGGGTAGGAAGGATGCATAAGTGAAAGAAAGCTTCATTTTAATGGTGGCGCTGGGCTCCAGACAGCAGCACTGTGTCCCACCAACAGAAGATCAGAGAAGGAACACTACTCTCTGAAATGGGGGCCACTACTACGGTAGCACTAAGATGTAGCAGAAAAGGGGGCGAGGAGAGAGAAGAGATCCAGACAGAGCTAGGAAAACAAAACTCTCAGTGTGCAGCCACCTTCTGCATGTGGAAGTGAAAACCCAGTTAGCAGTATGGGGAGCAAAGACAGACAGACACCACCACCAAAAAGCCCAAGCAATTAAAGCAGTCATTGGTTGTGAGTTGCTTCCCAGCGGGTGGTGTGGACCACAGTGCACAAAGACACACTCCCAGTAATAGGCATGCTGTAAAACCAAGCTTAAGATTTCTCTATATGCAACCATCAGAAGTCTGGTACTTCTTTTCACCCAGGCATTCTCCTACCATAGCCTAGGGTCATCATGCTCTCTCACAGGACTATTTCAAGAGCTTTTCCAATTGCTTCCTATCCCCGCTGTATTTAACTCTTACCTGTAGCAGCCTCATGTTCAGAGTGAAGTCTCCTTCCAGCAGCTGATCCCGGATTAGTCTGAAAGACGGAAATTAATCTGGCTACTTTTGATTCTTTCCAGAAGAACTTTAAAAATGGGCCACAGAGTGCCTTTATAGATGCTTTTGAGAACACTTTCTCCATCATTGTGACAAATGACTATAGCCCATCCACCAGACACATTAACACATGCCTGTAGAAGACTCCTGGAGCCACGGATTTAAGTTAAGGAGGGAAAGAAAAGGGCAGGAAAGAGCTGCTATCTCTATACTTACGTCAACATGGCACAACAGACGAGCAGAAGAAAATCAAAGCGCTTGTCATCAGCAAAGAGGGAGTCCCAGATACGGATGACGTCTGGCAGCAGGAACTCTTGGGACAAGAGCAGCGTCAGCCAGCGGAAGGCAAAGAACTGAGGTTTGATGTTCTGTTCTTGCTGTCAGACATGCACCAGGCAAAGAATGAGTACGTGCTCTCGGCCAGTTCCCTACAGGTAAGAGATGCACCCCATGTTTCCATCCCCATCTCCACCCTGATATTGCGCCAGGCTGCCAACTCACACTGCAGCATCAGCAAGTCCACTGCCTCCTTTGAAGGCTCTCACACTTAAGTTGGATCAAGAGAGAGAGAGTTCTTCAGTGCCACCATACTCCATGTCTATAGACAAGCCAGAAAACACTCCTCTCTAAGATAACGGAGTAAAGGAACCTTTCCTTTTCTAAAGGCACTGGTTGGGTTAGTCTAGTTAAGCTTCCCAAGCATTCTTAATGTTCCTATTTGAACGGCATTTATCTGCAAAGGTACAGCCCTCTCCCTCTAGCAGAGGGAGACTGTTTTGATCAGGATTGCCTCCCCTTTCCAGAAGTCCTGTATTTATCAAAGTTTACTCTTCAGAGAAAGAAGCAGATGGAGCAGAGCTCATACTGACGGTCAGGAAAAGATACCACAAGCAATTTTAGCCTGTAGCTTTCTTGTTTTCTACTGTCAAAACCAAAGGATCGTACGTTTAAGCAGGGTCAAATGAGTTCAGGATCCTGATGATCCAGGACCAGCTGCAGCACAGCCAAGACCGTTTCCTGCCGGCCATACAGTAAGTAGTTGATTTTCTCCCCACTGAATCAGCCTTCAACCAACGTTGTAGGTGGCATCACTGTGCTGACAGACCTTATTTTGGATTATGAAAGAAACGCATCCCGACTTCTCTAAATGCAAGAAATATCAGTATGATTTGGTGAAGGTTGGAGGAGCAAGAACAGCTTTTCCTTCCAAGTTCTCCTTGGACTTTCACACTAAATGGGCTGTAAGCCCTGAAGTTGTTTTCAGCAAAAGCTGCCTTCCCGATGCTCTGCAATCCCTCTCCCACAACAGAAACAACCCAAAGCGCTCAGAGGTCTTGGATGGAGGAAAAAGAGCGTTAGATGGGCAGGATGGTCCAACTTGCTGGATTTCAATTTACTTCCACGGTAATCTCCAGAGAGTTTAAATTAGTGCTGCTAGCGAATTCAATGGCAACAGAAGTATGACTTTTTAATTAGAGGAAAAGGGAGGCACAATCCCTGTAACCTCAGTTTCCAAGGAACTTTACAGGAAAACTCGTGTTTGGCCTGCTGACTGGGAGAAAGTACAGACTCCAGTTCCAACTGAGCCTCAATGCAGGTGACCAGGGATCATGGCCAAGTCACTTCAGAGTCACAACTGGCAGCTTTGCAGCATTGTTTGCTTTCACGGCTAGGCACGGGAGGAAAGCTTTGCTGTGTCAGCTCACTCTGAGCTTACTCCAAGGAAAGACTGTTTCAGCCCACAGATAAGACAGCCTTTGCCTGTGGGCAAAGTTCCTCATACACTCTCTCAACCTTTCTATTCAAGCACAGCAACAGCTTAACGAGATTGGCTCACTGTTAAGTCCTCACATTCCAGTCAAGACTCAGAGAAACACCTAGCTCCTCACCAGTTTCAAATACAGCTCCACATCTTTCTCCTTCAGGGTGGAGTAGACCTTCTCCATTTTGTAAATAATGCCACACTGAGAATCGTCCAAGCTCTTAATGAAGTTGTCCCGAATCTCAGCCATTAGGTTGGTAAAGCAGAAAAACGTGTCTGCTTCAGCATGTTCTGAAAAAGAAGATGAAGAGGGAATAGAAGGAGCATCACTGACAGAGGCACCCAGACTTGGAACTGCTCTTGCTCAAGAGCTTGGCTGCTGTAGTGGATCCAAGCAGTAGATCTCACAAAATCTTGACTTGCTTGGTCTGGGACAAGTTTAGGCACGGTCTTTTTTCTTGGCTAGAAAAGTCTACAGAACCACAGCAAATACAGACCCTGTGTCAAACACAAGGTCGTCATGACATGAGGTCAGGAACCAGTTATCTGTGTGTGAGAATACCATCTGCTCTCCCTGCTGCCTGCACACACCCTCAGAGCTCCAGTGAAGTAGGAATAACAGGCCAAGTTCTCCCATTCCTTCCTCTTTTATAAGGTATGTACAGTACAAGCAAACAGCAGCTTATAAGGCACTTCTAAGTTTCAGTCAGAATTTAGATTCAATGCAAAATTAGATCCATTAAAAAAGCAAAACAAAAACAAAACAAAAAACTCTCTTCTCATATCCTTACTACTCAGAGCCCACTAGGTTTCTGTCACTTCGCTAGGATCCTAAAAATTCCTCATCTCTTGCCCTATTCACTTTTTTCCCCCCTGATCAGCTGACATAATACTATCGGTATTTCGATAGTTTTCCGTCCCCTCTGTAATACAACCCTCTTGGTTAAGTTTCAAAGCTCCCAGTGTGTGCTCTGTTACTAAGCCTCAGCTAAGCACTAATTCAGATTAGAAAACATCATTTCCTGCATACCAATCCCCCCTGCAGCCCATCACTGCATGTCAGAGTTCTCTTAAGAGAGTCCCATTCCTGAACCAGTTCTTTACACAGAGAGCATGCAGTATGACAGCCACTACCGAGTGGCTAAAACAGTCTCTCACCTTTCCACTCGCTGTTAGGATCTGTAGCAAAGGTGTAGTAAAGAGGCCCCACTATTTCATTCATCCCCTGAACGTACGCTATCCCGGGGTTCAGCTTGGCATAGATGAACAGGATCCGCTCCACCACTTCCCAGTGAGCTTCACAGCCATTGGGCAGAACTTCATACTCGCTCAGAGAATTAGGAGGTGTTTTAAGAGGGGAGCTCACCTGAAGAGCAAGGTAAGACTAGGGCTGATTCAGGGTAACCAGCTGGTACAGACAGTTTCTTACACGTGACAAGCTTGGCTCTTAACACGCACAGCTCCCCCAAAGATTTGGGCAGCATATACTAAGCAGGCAGGTATTCACAAAAATCACGACAAGTAACTCAGGAAGCACAAAGGCACTGAAGTCTTAGCATTGCCTATGCTCGAAGAATGAACCAGTCTGAACAGCAACAGTCTCCCCAAATCATAGCATAACCTGCACCCATGCAGCGAGGAAACATAGCAGTTCCACCTTGTTAGTAACGGAGGAAAGAACAAAGCTGTAATAGTAGCAAGATACTTTTCCCAACAGCAAGTATGTGGTGTTAACACGATAACGCTCACAAGAGAGGAAAAAGGCAACACATCTTTCAGCAGATACCCAGCCTTTTTCTTCCCAACTCCAGTGCTATGAGACCCAGTTCTGGAAGACCGTGCAAATTTAACTTCAGTAAATTTGCCCTTCAGTGCCTTGCTCCCATGCAGGGAGATATGCAGGTCAGGCATAACATGCTGACATCTTCCTGCAACGCCTACTTCCACCAGAAGCCAGGAAGAAACACTTTAAGATTAAATACACCTATAACTCCCTATCAGCTGTCAGGAACGTCAGCTGGTTCTTTAAAGCTGTCTAGTCACTAGAAAAAAAACATAGCATCGGCTACGACATTAGCATAATTCCCTCACGCAAGCAGAGACAGACAGGGAAGAGAGCCTAACGTGACACTCTCCTTATCAGTTATGATGCCTAGCCCTATTAACAGCTCTCACAGAGATCTTACATTTGTAACTCCGCTGCGGTTTCGCGCCACTGTCTGTGACTTGAGTGTGGTCTGCTCCACCCGCTTGCGCAGTGTCTCAAACTCATTTTGGGGGTCCAGGATTAAGAGGCAGGGGTAGTCTGTTGGGCGCTGGAAGAACGCCATGTCAGGGTACAGCCTCCTAGAACGGATACAGGAGGAAAATAAGTATAAGCAGAGCAAGTACAGGCCCCATCTGAAATGGGAGGCTCGGTTTAATATTAAACTTAATTTTCAAAGTACAAGTAGTGTTAATTAAGCCGCTCTGGTTCAGAAACCCGAATCATTATGCCTCACACACCTGACATCTTTGTCAATCTGGAGAAGCACTTCATTATCCTTGAAGTAGGTATTCCATCGGCTGTCTGGGTTTGGATTGAGGGGCTAAAGAAATAAACAACGTAAACATAACAAACACATGTTTCACTTGTACCAAATCCTCAGTAAACACACACAGATTTAACACTTGTGCTGTCCCTCTGCCAGCCAGTACTAGCACTCTCCTAGCACACCAGGTTTAATCTTTGATCTTACTATATTTAGTGGTGTTTCTTCGGACAGTATTGACAGAGCAGGAAGCGCATCAGCGTCTGTGAAACAAGTGAAGATGCCGATTCGCTTAGAGAGACAGAAGCCAACGTTTTCTATTTCTTTTCTCCTGCCTTTTAATGTCTTTGTTCTCAAATCAGGTATCCCAACCTGTGTGAACAGGATTCCTGATCGCAGTTCCAACCTCTACGATGGGGACAGTCCTTATACCTAGCCTAAGAGTTACCCTGGGTACTCGCGTGTTGCGCTTATTGGCTTGTTACCCCCCACTAGCTCAGCTCTGAGAAGGCTGATTAAGCACCACCAGTGTGCCCAGGATAAAGGAAATACAGGATAGGTTGTTTGTATTAATATGTATCTGACCAGTTTTCCCATATGACAAACTTAACTCCCTCTCCCCCCATGCATACTTTCTTCTCTCTAGATCAAGATCCATGAAAAGTTAACAATCACTCAAGAGACAGGAAAAAAAGACCTGGAACATTCCAAGAGGTCCAAAGATCACTGTGACGTGCTAACGGTTGGACTGTTACAAACATGCTGGTTAGAGCACCAGGCCCTCCAGAGATCACGGCAGCACAGATGCCTGTACACCAGCAGAGGAGTTCACATTCAGGACCAGACATGCAAGCAGTTGTGCCATTTTATAGTCTCATCTGATCAGTTCCTTCACCCCCTCCCTTAACACATACACTCTTAATAGCACTTTCAGAGAAGCAAAAAGCCAAGAGACACAGCACAAATTAAAAAATAAATAAATGATAATAATAATAAACAAGAATCACACAGTCAGCAACAGAACCAGAAATAAATGAGTCTCCTGTCTCCCATGGTCATAGTCCAACCCAACTCTGCTGCTTTTTTTTTTTTTTTTTCACCCTCCATTCAGAGTAGCCTGCTCTGAGTCTACCCATGGAACTGATTTCTCAGGAGAACATCTCTTTACCAGAGGCACGTCTTGTGACCCTCTCCTTTTCCCTAAGAAACCCATAGCCTGAGTAGCCAGTTCCAAAGGAGGGAATACGCATGGTTGAGAACAGCTCCCTTCAGAACTATTGGTGTTTTGCCAATAATTCAAGGTGAAGGCTACTAAGACAGAAGCACAGAGCTGGTACCTAGGAACATTCCCTCCTGCCAGCAGGGCAAAACAGTCGAGAACTGAGCCAAGAGCAGCCTAGGAGTTTCACTCCAGAACAACAGTTCATAACTCTGAGGAACTTTCTGCAACATAAAGGCTGAGCAGCACTTACGTGATCTTCTAAGGTCACATCTTCCCTGGAAACACCCAGGTTGGCTTTGGCGATCCCAGGCTGGATAATCATTTCCTTCAGGAACTGGGAATATAGATCCCTTAACGAGAAAAATAGGGATTTGTGATGACGCAGAGGATCAAATCAATGCTAGTACCAGACTGAGTCCAAATAGATCTTTCCGTGCCACTCTGCTAGCCAGAAAACATTTGATTTGCTCTTCAGCTGATTTCAAGAGGTCAATCCATCGACCTCGCTAGACAGCCTACAGGACAACGCATTCCACATGAGAACGCTTCATTTTATGTAGACACTTAATTATTTTAAGAAACTATTTCACTTCTCTACAGATATCATTAGAAGTAAAGGAACAAATACAGATGCCCTCACCTCTGCTTCTTCAGCAAAGAGCTCCATAAGGCTTTCTCTAAAGGGAGGTAGTTCAAGAGTATCTGTACAGAAGACGCACAAATATTAGTCTTTGGAGCATGAGCTATCACACCTGCAAGAACAGCAAACCAAACACAGCAGCTAGAACTGGCTCTCTCAAACATCTGGGAGCTGTCTCCAGAAAGCATGGTACTTTGCCAAGGTAGAGTCAGGAACATTTCAGGGACAGGTTTTCAAAATAGGCCTATTCGCATGGCTGATCAACAGCAAAGCTAATCGAGTTGTACTCCTAGCTTAATCCTGTGCTCAGGCAAAGAGCAGACAGCCACTTTTTACCATCCAGAACAACAGCTGTCCTATATGAGTTCGTGCTAATGCCGCTGTGCCAGTGCTAATCTCCATAGACGGCTGTTAATTTAGAGCACCTTTTTTCTGCATTTTCACTTTTGTTTATGCTTCTATGTGCCCCAAAACATTTTCTTTACTTGAGCAACCCAAAGCATCGCTAGCAGGAAACAAAAGTGCCCCAAGCCAAACCCACCTTCCAGCACAGGCAGCGTAGCCCACCATCGAAAGGGATTCCTGTGAAACATCAGGCAGAGAGATAGTTACACGTTAGCCCCGTTAGTTACCCCGATAGTTACGTTAGCAAACCGTACCCCACGGTTTGCTGGCGCCACCATATAAACAGCAAGAGCGCGCTTTTCCTCTCCACGGACAAGCGGTTTCCAAAGGGAGCCTGGAGGGGTTTTTGCGCAACGCCAAACCTGCCGGCACGGCCAGAGAGGACGGTGCCTGCGGCAGGGACAGGGAGAGGCACGGGGGGAGAGGGGCGGGG